GACAAGGGAGGTCAATATTGACACAGCCACACTGCTGATTTCTGCAGATGGCTACATCAATGCGTGGTCTGTTAATGTCAAAGGAGGTCTGTTAGTAAAGTTCAGAGCAGTAAATGATGAAAGTGCCATCATTACCACCATGTCGACTGATGTCAATGAACAGATTTTACTGACTGGGGACAGTACTGGAAAGATTCATCTGCGGGACATTCAGGAATTCGGGTTAAAAAAACAGGCAGACAAAGGGCCATTTGAGGATATACATGGGTGGCGTGTGTCACTGTGTCCACCTCCTCTGTTGGGCTCCTGGCAAACTCACTTCACAGGGGTGGTGAGTGTTAAATCTGACCCCGCTTGTGAAAACATAATTACTGCGGGGTTGGACTGCAATGTCCGGCTATGGACAAATACAGGCTGCTGTGTAGGCCTCTTTGGGAGAGACCAATGGGGTGCTACGCAACTCAGCCCTGAGAAGAATGCTGAACAGCAGGAACCAGGAAGACCAAGCACTGCAAAGACAAGAAACTCTCATATACCATTCCCTGAGTCTCCAAGGTCTTCATCACCCTCATCTCCGCTCCCAAACTTTGACGACCTATATGAACAAATTAGAGAGTTAACCAAAACACCTGAGGTTACGCCAACACTGACTTTTGATCAACTACTAACTGAATATAAACAGCTGATCAAGTACAAGCCAAGTTATGACCGAAAAAAAGATATGTGGATGTTGGGGTCTGAAAATACTCCATCCATGTTATGGTCGTGCTGTACATACTGCAGCTCTGCCGACATGGATTTGAACTTATCCCATCATCCCTTCTGCCCCCTATCCCTGCTTTCCTCATGCCCTCAACCCTTGATCCCCTCATCCCTGCTTTCCTCATCCCTTCATCCCATCATCATCCTCTGATCCCTTCATCCCCTCTTCATTCACAGCTGGTCACACAGCTGGCTCACATCGACCAGAGACGCCAGATCAGCAGCGCAGCAGCGGCTCCACCATAAATTTTGTTTTAATTTACATGTGTAAGGTTGTTGTCAGGTACCTGTGAAATATAAATTTTAAATTGTAGATTCAGATCATTTTCGAGATTATTTGTACTCATTGTATTTTACTTGGGGAAATAGGTTTTGGTCACAATGTTGTAACATTTCAAAGTAAGAACCACGAGATTATTGACCATGTGAACCATGACCATTTGATTATTAATCAAATGGTCATGGTTCACAATAGACGTCTGCAGACATGTATGTGAGATTTTAACACAGACAAGTGGGTGACACAGCAGGGGCAGTGGTGACATTCTTTGCTATATACATACATTTGCATGTCTTTGTGCTCTAAGGAAGAGCCAAGGAGTGGCCATGTTAGAAAGCCAACATTTGTCTGTGATTACTGTTTGCTGGTGGTTCTGTACTTGAGAGGATATTATGGGAGAGATGTTTCTTTGTCGAGAGAGAATCTTGTCTGTTGCTCCATGGCCATGTTAGAAAGGATTAATTCATCACATCTTTGACTGCCTTTCTTGTTTACCACAAAAGTGTCTAGATTTTGGTTTGAATCTGAATATGTGACTTATCGGCAGTGTATAATTAGTAGTGATGAGGAAGTACACCACTATCTGTATCTGTTCAAGAAATTCAATTTTATGTATCTGTATCCGTACTCAGCTTAACCTGGACGCGGGTGGGACTAACTGGAAGTGAGTTAATCAAGCCTGAAATTGGAATGGGTTAATCAGAAGTGGCTTTAGTAGAAAACTATTCATGGAACAGACTCAGAATTGAGTTTCTGAGCAATGTTTTTGATTCCAATAGTGGAGAACGATTTAAAAAAAAGGGTTCCTATATTTATAGTTTATTAGAAAACAGATATTGACACATTTTACTCTCATGATCCTAAAAGGTACATTATCTGTAACAGATACTCGTTTCAACCGAGTACATGCTTAACCCTAATAATTAGTTAATGTCCATGTTTCAACTTTTGCCATGGTTTCCTTCAAACTCAGCAACTAGGTTATTTTTTTCTCTTGCTCCCATCCTGCAAAAACACCTTTTTTCAACTGGTAACTTACATACCAAAGCTCAATCAACACATACATATCTGACAAAAGTCTCAAATAGTCAACACAATGAATTAATACAAGTTTAACTTTCAAAAACTCATTTAGTTGACTTCAAAATCCAAAACTTGTCAGAGCTCTTTGAGTTAAAAAGAAGTAGTAAATGGACTTAACTAAATGGGGATACTAATTTAGAGTGCAGCATCTCTTCCATGTATGACCTAAATGAGATCTAAATATGGAAGGGTCACCACCATTTCCGTTGGAATAAATGCTTTGCTACATTTTGTTAGGACTAAAGTTGGCTTCAAACTGAAAATAACTCTACATTTACTTGATTTCACAGGGGAATGGAAAGCGGTTCTCATGTGAAAGTCCTGGGTTTGACACAGCCAACACGGCATGGGTCGTAAAGCAGCATAATAAATGTGAGGACGGGCTGCTACGCCAACATGTTCACAAAAAAAATGCAGTTCCTCATAAGAAATGGAAGCACACACAAGAGCAACATGTTGCTTCATATAGGTTTCATTTTAAATTTTCTTTAAGACACAACATTTTTTGCTTCTTTTAGCGACTACACTGTTCCTGCAGGGTCAAAATTAACATGCTGTCCATGGCGAGCAGTTTTTCTTTACCTGGGAGTGGCATCTGATAAAACAGTTATAGTTAATTAAATATTACTAATATTACATAGTTACCAAAGTGAAATTACTAGTTCTAAATATTTTTTGGGGCATTTTTCTCATGATATTGTACAAAGACTAAAAATAATCTGTTGTTTCTGAAATGTAAGAAAAAGTGTGTCAAATTGCAGAAAAATCTATTCCAAATTATTCTACAATAAAAGTACTTTATGTGTAAAAGTCATAAATTAAATATATAAGGACAAAAACTAAATGCCTATCATGGAAACCACTTTTCAAGGGTTGCACCACATGATATTTGGTCGCACCACATGATATTTTCTAATTTAGCAAAATTTACAGGCAGAGAATAGGCCACCTAAACAAAACAAGATAGCTTCCTACAAAAAGACGCCATGAAATTTATAATCAAAACAAATATTGGTAGAAATAACTTTATATTAATTGTTTTTCTGAGGTCATACCAAATGAGATCCAAAAGTGGCAACTACATACCAGCTGTTAAAATTTTACATTTTTCCAGATTTGAGAGAGAGTTACAAACCTACTTGCTGTTTCAATGGGACCTTGGCAAATTGGTATATTATTCAACTTCCTGTCTTCTAATGGATTTCAACATAAAAGTCCCAAAGTGGTCGTTTGTTGATGGTGGCACCACATGATATTTCATAAAATGGACATCAATGGACAAAGTTTACTTGTGTAGTATTATGGAAATATAAATACAGATGCTTTGCAATTTTGTAGAGGACTAAAAAACACTTTGGAAATCATGCCAAATAGAGCAAAACACAATTTTGAATAGATTTAAATAAAAGTTTTCAAAACAGCAGTCATGGCCGGACGGTTGCACCACATGACATTTTGACAGAAAAAGATTTCAGAAAAATTACAAAAAGCTAATGTTTATTAAAGTTAAAAGTGAGACAAAATGTAGGCGTCACGTCATTGACCCTTATGTAAAAGGAAACACAAAATTCAGGTGGTAGATGACTTTTCAAAATATACAAATATAACAGAATATAAAGCGGTGCCGCTCTCAGACATTCTGTGTAGCTTTTAGATCTGTTTCTCCTGTAGATCGAACGTTTTATCATGTAATAGCATCCCTGCTGAGGCAACACACATGCAGGAATGATTTAGTCTTCCCTCCTCTTTTGTCATGTTCAAAGGGAGATAATGGAAAACTTGACCAAAAAGAAACGGTGTCAAGAAGTTGTTAAAGTTACTGACTGGTGCATGCATGTTTTTGGGTAATTTTATAATCAGTTGCTTGTTTTTTATTTTATTTTAAGGTACTTTTTTTGGACACTGCACATTTGTTTCTTCTATATTTTAATTGCATTACATGTTTTCTTAATGTGCAAATAAACCTTTCTGAAGGCATTTTCATTTGTTATTTAACTGCAAGCTGTATTTCTTTTCGTTTTCGTTTTCTTTAGCAAATTATGCTTTAAAAAAGTGGTGGGGACAGAATCAGCAATTTCAAAAGTGGTGGGGACATGTCCCCAGCGTCCCCAGTGTAAATGACACCTATGTTACCAGCCATCCCTGGTTCAGCTCACACATCTTGAGACCCAGTGGAAGCCACATCCACCTCAGACCAAGCTCTTCAGAGGTTGGCACTTACCTAAAATATCAGACACAGATAATACTATCAGGTTAAAAGCAAGCGGAGGCTGACAGTCGATCAAGGCACATACCAATCGATTTTTAACTGCAGTTTTTTTTCTATTCTCCATTTTAATATGTGGTTACTGGCTGTGCCTTCCTGCACCCAGACTGGCAGGTGTCCTGCCTGTTACACACTGAAGTGAGGGGAGTCGCAGGGCCTGCAGCCCTCTACCACAGCAACTCAAGGCACTTTCTTATATTCCTTATGGTAAAGATTATATAAAAAATACTGATTACAGAGCATGCAAACACAAAAACAATAAAAAAAAAATATACAAGGCATTCAAGAACATGCAAATATTGAACAACTGAACTGAAGCAACAGTTTTCTAATGTTGTAGTGTGTATGATTATAAAATTTTAACTCTCAAGCTGCTATGGGTTAATTGGGAAACACTGTCACACAGCTGTAGGAACAGCTCAAGGTTCAGGTTCAGCATCATCACACAGGAACATGTCATTACAAATGTAGCACTAAAACAGAAAAGCTTTAGTTTAAACAATGCTTCAACTGTATTCATTAAACAAGACAGTTTCACCCTAACCCAGGTGTCACAAAAGGAACCGTCTAAGGCTGCTGTTGTGTGAGAGCTTTTACTTTGTAAGCCAACACTGCGCAGCGTGTTTGCTTCCGGGGGACATGGCAGGCAGGTTGCTGATTCACATGGAGGAGGGAAACAGCGCTCTGTATTTATAAAATATAAACATGTCAGTGTTATAAACTGTGGAAACTCAGCGACAGTATTTTCTGGCAGGTTACCATGGTGAGTAGCTGGCATTTTTATACTACAGTTAAATGTCTGAATGCCTCAAAACGATTACTCTAACATGTGCTAAGCTAAGCCAAGCTAACTTACTGCTAACTTGGCAACTGTAGCTGTAGTTGTTGGCAGTGGGCTGCTTGGTACATGTAACTTTATTCAAGCTAAAACAGATGAGCCCCCTAACAAGCCTTTGTTTTATTTCCTCATGATAAACACTATTTGCTTAACAGTGTAGTCGACATTGATATCATTTGATAGTGGTATTCAAAATGATTCAACAATGTTGCTTTTTTTATCTTTAGATTAATCAATATTAATATAGCTGATAATATGTCAAAGATCAAAGGTTATGAGAGCTGTTCAAATGCAAAAACATAATTCATAATAATTTATGGATATAAATATTTGTAAAGATTTAATTATATATAGCTTAACTATATTCTTCACGCATAGTTATCTATTTGATTAATAATAACTTGGCCAATAATATGTCAAACATCACAGGTTATTAGAGCTCTTAACCGAAATAAAATCCTTACTTAATCTGTTGAAATGCCAAAGATTTAACTATATATAGCTTAACACTTTAATCATATAAGATTATCTATTTGATTTTAACATTAATAAAAATAATATTATTATTTATCCAACTTGGGTGGATTAATATTCTGTTAATTCAGTGCGTGCCAGGTGTTAACTTGCTTTAATGTGTTTCCCCCTTGTAGATCCCTACAGACTTTAAAGCCCTGATCCAGAGGTTTTATCACCTGCAGTCTGAGCGGGTAGAGACGTATCGGCTGTTTGAAGAGTATGTGTGGATGTAACATAACTATACACACTTATTTCACAACCACATTTCCTCCTGTCTCCAGGGATCATTGATCTTCATTTCAGGCACTTAAACAAAGAAATCTGCCCTTCTCAGTTATTCATGCTTGTTTTTGTGTTTTTTTTATTGGTGTTGTTTTGGCTGCTGCCTTCCAGAGGACACGAGGCCTACTTGAGGACAGGGCCCCATTATGACTTCGACCACTACAGGCAGCTGGTCCATGAGGTAACACAGGCCTTCTGTGGCATCTCCAATGAAGTGCTGGAGATCAAGGGGAGGCTGCACCACGAGTTTGACAGGCCAGACCTTTCTGAGCACATTGAGAACCTGCAGAGCAAAGAGAAGCAGAAACTTGAACTGGTAGGTAAACAGTTTTGTGCGACAGTAATAATCGTCCGTGCGAAACAGTGCGAATAGAGTTATATGGATTAAACGAAGTAATTAGGTTTCTTGATGAATCGTTTGAGCCCTAAATCAGTCGATACATAAGAGACAAAATGCCTACTGCGTAGTTGTGACAAGCCATGTAACAAGAAGTTCTCTGTTCTGGATGATGCAATGTTTGCATATGAAAAAAAAAAGTGTCATATGCATCAATTATGATTTTGAGTAATAAATAACTTAAGTAAATAGTAGTCCACAAACAAATACAGGGCAGTGTTCAAAAGGATAATATTCTCAAAAGGCATTTTGATTTGTTTATTGTATGTAAATGCAGTTCAGTTTGGAGGGTTAATTTATTTGTTATTCTTCATTGTATTTTCCTCATTTGTAAATTCCTTTAATAAATTATTTGAATGCATTTACGGTGTAATTAAACATTAATATTGCTTTATAACTGTTTACAAGATTTTTTCTGTTTCAAACATCCACTTAACCTCAGTTTCAAATAAATAACATGAAATGTAAGCCTTCCATTCAAGTTCACACTGTTTGTTTAATATTTGAGACGGTTCCAGTGTTTCGCCACAAGGAGGCAGCTCTTGTACAAGACCCTTTCATTATTGCTGTCTTGTATGTGTTTAACACTGTCACATTGATGATTCAGTTATTCTTTTTACGCTGGTAGCTCAAGTCATACATTTATGTAAAAGTAAAAGCCACTTATGGAAGAAAACTCCTAATTCAGTTGAATTTAAGTCATTTAGTGATGATGCAGTGTTGTTAGTGACCTGAAATCTAAACTCAGTCTGTGACGCTCATCACCATTGAACAGCCAGTTCGAGGGAGACTGCTGATAAAATGAAAACGCCTCGGTCCACATCTCATACATCTGGTGTTCAGTGATGTGAAGCACTTTTAACTACAGTTTTACACACCGTTATAATATTAGACTCCACTTCCTGTCTGCCAGTACTATCATAAAGCTCCTATTCTCTGCAAGTTCAAACTCCATCTCCTCCCCTCCGTCCTCCACTGATGAATGGTTTGCATAAATCTTATCTGATGTGCCTTCTCAACAGACAGCCAAGCTGCAGCTGGTCAGGCAGCGGGCCCAGGATCACCCGGAGGAAGAGGACTGTCAAGAAAAGATTCAGGAGATCAAGCACGAGTAAGTGCAGCTATTACCACCCCTCCGTTTACTGCGCTAGCTCCCTGCTGACCGATCCACTCACTCACTATCAACCTGCTGTCGGCTGCAGGACTTCCTGTTTCCACCTACTTTAACAGACTATACCTCACCATCACAAAACTGTCAAAAGATATTCCTAAACGTTTGTAACACAATAACCGATGTGTTTTCTGGGCTCATTCTTTGTCCAGGATCATCAAGAACCAAGAGGCTCTGAGTGAGATCATGCAGGACTTTAAGTATGACTCTGAGGAGTGTGATTGACAGGTGACTCCCAGGAGGCCTGCAGCCGCCCTCTCACATCACCAGACAGCAGAGCTGACAGATCGACTCGGCTCTGCTGCAACTTCCATCTTGGACTCCTCAGCTGCACTTATTGATCCCACTCTGGCCCCACCCTGCTCGCTGCTGCAGTCTTATTCCACCCAGGGGAGTTATCACATTCTGGCTCTGTGTGTTTACATCTGTAGTCGTGTGTTTGTGTCACTGCATTTCTCAGCAAAAAAAACAAGAAACAAAAATTGTTTTGATGAAATGTGTAAATACTAAAAAGGTTAAATAATTCTTGGAGGCTCATCCAGCTGTCTTTGTTGACTTGATGAACGGCATTTTTAAACAAGACACTTTCAAGACAAGTTTGACTTTTTACTCTTCTATATGTTATACATTTTTTAGCGGCATTACTGGTGCAGTAAAAGAGTAGAACTTAAGTCAAAAAACATTTTTTAAATATGCAGTTATAAAAATATAAACAAATGGTCTACTCAGACACAGGATAGTATATACATTGTACAGATAGTGAGGCATTATCTCATGGGTATTCAATTACTGATACAATTTTAATGAATGGTATGTCATACAACATTTTAGATGCTTCTACAAATATAGTTTTCACTGAACTAGCAGAGAATAAAATGTTATGTTGGTCAATAGAAAATTATTCACCAACTATTTTGTAATTACTTGTTTTAAGTCTATTTTTGTGTTGCAAAATGCCAAACATTCATTGGTTCCAGTTCCTCGATTGTCAGTACAGTCAACTTCTCTCTGATTTATAATCATTGTAAATGGAATATCTTTGGGTTTCAGTAAGACAAAAGAAAACATTATGTCACCTTGGCCTTTAGCAAATTACTGGTATATTGTTTTACAAGTTTCACATTTCATTTTGACATTTTATCGATAAATCAAGTAATCCAGTCATTGAGAAACTGATCAGCAGTTAATTGATAATAAAAATAACATTTTATCATATAATAACTGCAGTCCAATCCTGAACTAGTTATTTCCAATAGTAATAGATATAGAGATATACAAGGCCACAACACTGGAAAACTGAAAAATTCAGATTTTCTTGGAGAAAACCACAGCTTCACAAAAATACTTTGTGTTTCTTGGCCTGGAAAAGTAGGATTACGGTTTTATGCATTTTGTTCCCAGTCCATTGTGTTACTGCCATGGCAATTTGTTTTTGTAGATGCTTCAGTAATACTTTAGTACCATTTGACATCAATGTAGCATTAAAGACTTGCTTATCTCACATTAAGTTATTAAAAAATGTTCCGATAACATTTTCTGTTCAGAGTATAAGTTCAGTTATCAACAGCCTAAATACTTGTGTTTGTGCAAACACATCTAACAGAAAGATCTGGCCAGAGGAAATGGCAGAAAAAGGCTGCATTGTCTCACTTTAATTATCCTCCACTCGGGCCCTTTAAACTCAAGTTAAGGCTGTATGACCAAACACTGCAGTATCCCTCAAGCGGGGCGTTGGACCTCTCACACAGCTGGGACCCTCGGGGCCAGTTATCTGTCAGTGTTTCTTTATGCTCTTCTTGAATTAAGCACCACAGTGGTGCTGAGTGATGGTGCTATGAATTATCGTCTTGTAGAATCTGAAAAGACAAAAGCAGATGGTTCATACTGGGATAATTTTGCGTGAAAAACCATGTAATTTACAATCACGATAATTGCTCTGTCTGGCTGCCACTTTTCTCTTGTCCTCTCTTTTCCTCTGCGTCATTCTTTGCATCATCTCTTTCATATTCTGTGTGTGTCGCTCCCCAGCTACTTTCTCTCAAGGTAATCAATGGGAACCTGTCAAGGTTTGTGAACAAAGACATTATTCAGGAGACAGCGTGTGCCCTATAAAGCACAAAAAACACGCAGACTGCTGAGATAATTGAGTCAGGTGGAGTGAAGGTTTCCATGAGTTCAAGGACTGAACAGCAGAGGATGTGGCTGAAAGATCTGAACTCCTCACAAAGTCACAAACACAGAAGATGCCGGGGCTCTGCGTGCCATTTGGCCCGAGTTATTTTTGTGAAAGGGGCTCCTCATGCCAAGAGAAAACCAAACACAAAAGGAGCACATTACAGTGGGCTGTTAATTATATTTACATGTTTGTTTCTCTTTGTTGTGGTCATCAGCTGAAGATCAGAAGTCTACATTGTTAAAATATGTAATAAAATCAGAGGTCACGACAAAAGCATATCTACTTTTATGCTCCCAATTCTGGGCCCAAAACCGCACATTTTACCTGATCATAAAGTGCGGACTAAAACTCCACAGAGCCAGCCAGTACAAGAGAAATCAGTCCCCTTTGTGTTTGTAACAGTGCTGACCACATGGCATAAAAAAGGCAGGGTCAGAAATTCAGTTTGGGACTTCAATGCAGCAGCGGTGGCTGTTTGTGAGTGTGGGTTTGTGAGAGCAGCTCTGCAGAGATAGTGAAAAGAGAGAGAGGTTCCGCTTACCTACCTGGTTGCGCGTTTTGTGCGATTTCTGCAGCCAAACCCTCCACTGGTCGTACAGTTTGATTGACATGCCGCTGCAGCCGTACGCATGCTTGCGGACCCAGCCGAAGAATTGCTTGAGTTCCCGCCGCAGGGTGGAGTTCTGCTCACCGGGCTTAGGATCACAGGAGCCGCTCTGCAGCCGCTCTGGGAGGGGAGAGACAAAGGAGAGAGTGTGTGTAAAGAAAAGGAGGGAGGATGAGAGAACAGCATCAAGGTTATAGTTAGGACAATTGTTAGTGCAAGGTGGTGTACAGCTACATGCACAGGCTGCTCACTGTGTTGTGTGTCAGCATTGATGTGATACACTTTTTTATAAATAACTTCATTCAAGCAGAAACATTTTCACCAAAGTAAAAATCAACTCAAACCCCATAAGAGCAGATACCTCACTCTTAAATAAATACATGTTGTAATTATCATTTTCCCTTTTGATTAATCGATCTGCTTTATCTGCTATTGTTTGATATGCTTTGTCTTTTTTTATACATATCTACTGAAGCCTCTCTTGAATGCAGAAAGCAGTACTGACACTTACATTAAATGAATCCGGAGAAATAAAGTAAATTCAATTGTTTTTGACCAATTGTAAATTCAATTGTTTTTGCGTTAACGGCGTGGCTCTAGGGATGGCAATTTCAGTGGTCGGTCCAGACTGAAATAGCTTTACAACTTTTGGACATTCATGTTCCCCAAAGGATAAATTCTAACAACATTGGTGATCCCCTGACTTCTCATCTAGCGCTAAAAATGTGTCCAATACTTTATGACCAAATACCTACAACAGTACTGACATTCCCCTCAGCCTCAGCTGTACTTTGCATTTAGTGCTAATTAGCAGATGTTAGCATGCTAACTTACTAAATAAAGATGGTGAAACATCATCACACCTGCTTAACATCAGTATGTTATTATTGACATAGCGAGCATGTTAGCCTGCTGACGGAGCATTTAGCTCAAGCACCACTGTGCCTAGTTACAGCCTGAATAGAAATGCCATTTTTTTATATCCGTCTCAAACACTAAGATATATGCTCTGGTGTATTATTAAAAAGAAATTAAATATAGAAACACAGCACATCTCTCACCTCTCTCTACCTGAGAGGCCTCCGGTAAAAACAGAGTTCCTAAGTGAACATTTATGATGATTCATGTTGCTTAATTTTGCAAAATGAGATGCAAACGTTTTTATATAAAGATAAATATTTCTCAGTTTGATGTTCTAAAGTATGGAAGTGATATACCACACTTCTGGGGAAGATAGGCTACTGAAAGTCGTAAGTCTGCTACAATCAGTTCTTTATGGCAAACAACAGAGCCCAATAAGGACTTCCTCCCTCTGGGGAGTAAATTCCACATGCCCAGTGTAACTCATTATCTCCTCCTCCTGCTCCGAAACCTGCTTCCACTCAAGCTTTATAGGCCCTGTGTGTGCTGCGGACAGACAACCAGCTTTTTAACTTGATCAATATCTGATGCTGATGATCAAAATCTATCAAATGTTCCCCTGGCTCTTTGCAGTTCCTTTTAATCCTCTGCTGGGAGATCTGTATCAAGGTATCTAGCCTTTTGATGTTTGGTTTCTCCTGAGTCACATGCGGGTTGGATCTGCTTGTTCGGGATGTTGAAACAGGGATAAGGACATTGAGGGTTTTTAGGCTTTAATTGGCAGTGAAAGGTTGGTTATTAGAAAGGAAGGAAATGACAGCTTCAGTTATACTTGTCCACAAATGTCCAGAAAACACAGGCATAATTTTTTCCATTCAGTCTTATTATATTTCCTGCAATTATTTGCATTTGTCCTGCAACCAAAGAATAGCATACTGAAAGTGGGATTTGTTTATCTCTGCGATGTACTCACCATTGTTGGGTGTGGAGGCAGCAGCTGGGTGGCTCCAGTCACTCCAGATGCCGGCCTTCCTGGAGCCATAGATGCCCACTGGATTGCACCTCACCTGGACAAAATAAACGGTGCCGGGCCGGAGGCCTGCCAGCCGACATGACGTCTGGTTCCCAACATCATCCACTACCTTGAGAGGGAACAAAATGACAGAGAAGATGAACTAAAATGACAGTCAAAATCTTCCTCAGCACCGACTGAACAGAAATATTTGCTGCATCTTTTCTCACCATTTGTATTTTAAACTTTGTTCTGCTTTATTTTTAAGGTAGATTTGACAAGTTTGGCTTCAGATATATATATTTAAACATTATTTGCTTAATCCTCTCATTCAATAGTAAATCCAGAAGTCAAAGACATACCAACACAGCAGAGAAAAACATAAAGAATCTGTGGGCAGAAAACATCAAAGAAGCAGTTTGAAAGAATGACATTTTCTAAAAGCTCTGCTGCTGCACTTTTGGATCGAAGCCAGCTTTCAAAATGTACCATTAAAGAGTCACTAGCAGCAGTCAAGCCTTTTACCACAAGCATTATTTGCTTTATAAAGATTGACGTACATGCAAGCGGCTAGAGACGCTGCATGAGCAACATTTATGTTCATTATTTCACGGATCAGTCAGTGCTGCACCTGAAATGTTTCTCAGACGTGTCATAATTTAATGCAGACTAGTCTTTAGAAACTGTATGCTAGTCTTTAGGTGTGTGTGAGTGTGTGGACCACCTTCCATTCAGTGCTGTCCTCCACTCTGTAGCGTATCTGATATTTGGCCTGAAACAGGATGTCCTTGAGCTCGGGGGTGCTGGCCCAGCGGACCGTCAGCTGGTCCTCGAGGTCGCCGACACGACTCACCTGCACGTTGGTAGGAGGGTCTGTAGTCACTGCACGGACAAGGACAGGTGTTTGTATACAGCAGATATACAGTAGTTAGGGCAAGGATACAGGATACAAGAGGTTTGACCTCTAGAGAGACTGCAAATACTGCACTATAACACTGAGGGCAGACAGACGGCATATCTCATCTTCCATCTGTCTCATACACAAGTTAAATTTTGTAGTTGTCTTTTTCATTCCTTGATAAACCCTTGGATCGACATGTTTTGGATTGATTTTTGTACATATTCCCTTAAATTCAATTCCTCTTTTGAAGGAAATAAAGTACAACAAAGTGATTAATTTCATTATAAAGTCTTTGTTTCTTGTTTTCTCTTACTATTGTGTTCTTTATCGATTCTTCTCTCTAATCAGCCTCTTTCAGA